CTGCCGCCGGCGCGTGGGATACTCGCTGCCCGTCAGCGTGTGCCGCACATTGGAGTTGGTGATGAGGACGGCCAAGCTGGCATCGGTCAGTGGGACGAGGACGGTCTCCAGGGACCTGCAGCGAGAGCTCAGCGCGGGCCGTGTGCCCGTCCCCCCTGCCCGCTCCAGCCCTCGGCCATCTGGGTGAGGCCACGTGGCAGGCAGCTCCTGCCTCTGAAGAGACAAAGTCCAAGTGATTTAGGATTTCACTCCAGCCTTTCACTCCCTCCCAATTATTAGCCCCATAATAGACCCTACTGACTTTGCGGGAAAGACAGCCCAGGCCAGTAGCAGAAAAGATGCAGGAGGAAGAATCAAGACACAGGAATTAAAATGCAAGGAGCCTCAGCCCTGCCATGAGGTTTGGGGCTGGGTTCAGCGGTCACCCCCTCCCTGCACTCCTGCATTTATTTCACGGCCACGGGACCAGCTCAGCCCCACCTGCCCGAGAAGGTGGGCACGGTGCAGCGAGCTCGGCGCTCAGCCCTGACCTGCAGTCAATGAGCAGCGCGTGGCCTTCCTTGCCCATCACGGATATGAACTGGTCCATGATCCCACAGGGCATGCCGGCAAACGTGTGCTCCGCTTTCTGGCACGCCAGCGCCTTGGCTACCAAATCACCGTCATCTGTGCCAGAGCAGAGAGACGCAGGTTAGCAGCTCTGGGACCTTTGCCCCTTGCCCTGGAGCAGGGGGAGCAAACACAAAGGTAAAGGGATGCTTTCCCATGGAATGGAGTTTTGCTAAAGCATCAGCTGCGGGTGCCCGCTCCTGCACCAGTGCATGGCATCTGTGCCAGGGTGCGTCCCCGGATCCAGCTGGATGCGATAATTTGGCACTGGTGTCTCAGATCTCTCCATTTTTGGGGATATGAGGGTGAGGAGAAGATGCTCCCAAGGGAACACCCTCTCATCCCCCCGGCCAGCCCCAGGGGTGGTCAACGGGCTTTAGAGGCATGGGCAGGTCAGGTTGGGTGAGCCCTGCAGCCACAGCGGTGCCAGCTCCAGCTGCAGCGGGGGGTTGTGACCCACCCCACAGTGGTGTTTCCCCGAGGGCTGTGGGACCTTGCTAAGGGCACCCCCATAATCCTGCCTCCCACCCAGGAACAGCGGTGCCAGGACCGGCTGCTGCCTTACCAGGGCAGAGCTGCTGGAGGAAGGTGTAAGTAGCCACCTCCAGAGCAGCTGAGCTGGAGAGACCCCCACCCAGGGGGATGTCACTGGCTACCACGGCGCTGAAGCCCGGCACAGGACCACCTACGGGAAGAGAGGGAAGGAGGGGGGCTGTGAGCCCCTGCAGGGCTGGGGACTGCCCTGCCCCACAGCTCACAGGGAACTGATGGAGAGGAGCCCCTGTCCTGTATCCCATTTTAAAATGCAGGGTGAGCCACGGCAGAGAGTGACCCACGGCAGAGAGTGCACCGGGCATCTCACCCGCAC